TAACGAAGTTAGGACTACATAATAGTGTTTCAAGAATTTGAATATTACCAGAGTTACAGCCAAACATATTACGTAAAAATCGATACTGAACTAAGAAAACAGAACTGTTATGTGTTCGGTGCAACCAATAATTATAGAGACACACGGCGGACAGCCTTCAATATGTAGATCGTGCGATTAAATGTGCAAGTTTAATCACATTGGTGAACAGAAAATTAGGCTGTTAATCTAAATGTCAAGTTTAATCCCATGGAGGAACAGACAATTAGGATCATACATATTGTTGTCTTTCTTGCATGCAATTGATTGGGCGATTTACACTTTCAAGCCAAAAATAACAAACAAATCAAATGTAGAAATGTACCTATGAATAGATATAGAAGAAATAACCATGGTTGCTATAACAAATTATGATAAATCTACTTAGTTTAAAAGAAAAATTCTAATTCAGATCTTAATTGTTTTGTAGCAATTCAACCGTTATGTTAGTCCCGTTAAAAAGATTGTCATACATTTCTTTTAAAAATTTCAATTCATTATTTGGCTCGTGCACATATTCAAACTGATATAAAACATCATTGTCCATGCCATCTGGTTACCAGGTGGGCTTTGGTTTTCAAAGTCGAAGAGTATCCGTTTGAACCCACTTGGTCCAGTTCATAGAATCTCCAACAGAAACTAAAAAGGGACGAGAGGCGAGAAATAATTGTGCAGGTGCACCATATCCAGTAGCATAACTTTGTATTTTGTTCCATCCTGCTTTTTCAAGTTGTCTACGAACATGGAAAGGCAGTATAGTTACAGGTGCTCCAATATCGAGGATAGATTTGTATACCTTATTATTACTGGGATGATTACTGGAATCACGAAATTTATATTCAAGCAAAACAATTTTCATCCGTCTCACTAACTATTTTAACTCGAATTCTAATCTTTTAATATTTGTTGTAAATTATAGTTAAAGCATGTTAAATTTATATTTGAGATTTATATTGAAATAGACATTTCAGACCATATATTCGTTTCCATTATCAACACGTAGAGTACTCACTATTTTTGCTGGTGGAACTTTCACATGTTGCGATAGATCGACTGGCTGTAATATTCTGGCATTGAAGTAGGTCATCTGAAGTCTGGTCCCATACGATCTACGAAGGAATAAAGAAAATGTCAGATCATATTACTAGTAGGTGCTGCAAAAAGGAGAAAATTGACAAAATCTTTTTTTCTTTT